TTTTTCCCACCTCTGGTTTGAATTGATTTAAAATCACAAATGTCACTATGAATTAATTCAAGTGGTTCCGTACTTCTTTCAATTGAATGAAAAGGAGTTTTAGATAATTTTGCCTCAACACAAATTTCACATTTATGATTTGAATCAATGTTAAATTTAGGTAAACATTCCATATTAATTAATCTACGTAGTATAATTCAGCCCAATGTTACGTATAAATCGGAGATATCTTAGAACCCTTATAATTGTTTTCCAGTGAAATCAGCATAGATTACTCGTATATCTACTTAATTTACTTACTGCATAAGCTATATATGGGCAAGTGTAGTTCACCAAGTACATTAAGCTTCAAATAATTTGGGCATACTCTAATTGAGAAATACTTTCATGTACATTCTTAGAAAGAAACAAATTAACATCTACAGGTGTTCTAGCAAGATGATCATCATCTTTGCTGAATTTGTCAAGTATTTTCTCAATGTAATGAGATTGTGACAAAGTATATCCTTCTAATGTTTTGGTAATTTTCATATCAAGAATTACATCAACAATACCCATGTCCTTCATGTCAAAATGTTTACTCAACATTTTCTTGGTAGTTTTAATCATGTCATTATTACTACCTATGATGAGCATATCATCCACATAAAGACATACTATAACATAACCTTTGTTTGTGTTTTTTAATATAAACACATTTGTCACACTCATTAATTTTAAATCCATTTGATATCATTGCCATGTCAAATTTCTCATGCCATTGTTTTGGCGCTTGTTTTAAACCATATAATGATTTAACCAATTTACACACTTTCTTTTCTTTTCTTGAAACAGAAAATCCTTTTGGTTGTTCCATGTAAATTTCTTCATCTAACTCACCATTTAAGAAAGCGGTTTTCACATCCATTTGATGAATTTTTATATTGTACAAAAACGTAATAGCAATTAGCATTCTAATGGATGTTATTCTAGTAACTGGTGAGTATGTGTCAAAGTAATCTAGACCTTCTTTTTGTCTATACCCTTTAACCACAAATCTTGCCTTGTATTTGTCAATTGATCCATCTGCTTTCATTTTCTTTTGAAAATCCACTTATATCCAAGAGGTTTACAACCGGGTGGCAAATCCACCAATTCTCAAGTGTAATTTTACAATATGGATTCAACCTCACTGTTTACAGCTTCTTTCCATAAAGGAGCCTCAGGACTGGACATAACTTCTTTAAAAGTTAGAGGTTCATTTTCTAACAAAAATGTTAGAAAATCTGGACCAAAAGATTTTAAGGTTCTAGCATGTTTACTACGCCTAGGTTCCTCTTCCTCAATTTGATCTAACTCTTGCTCTTGTTCTTGATCCTGACTCGTAATAGCATCATGAGATCTTTTATTATTACTAGTCTCTTGTCTAGTCTTATTTAGAAATACATGTTCAAAGAATGATGCATTCCGAGATTCTACAACAGTATTTACTTGCATTTCGATATGTTCTGATTTATGAATCAAAGACCGGTATGCACTACTATTCTTGGCATAACCAATGAAAATGCAATCAACTGTTTTACGACCTATCTTAGTTTTTTTAGGACTAGGAATAGCCACTTTAGCAAAACACCCCCACATTTTTAAGTATTTGTAGAATGGTAATCTTCCATGCCACATTTCATAAGGTGTTTGATTCACTTTCTTTCAGGGTACTTTATTTAAAATATAATTTGCAAAAAGTATTGCTTTCCCCCACACGTTCTGAGGTAATCCAGAACTTATTAACATGCCATTTATCATTTCTTTTAAAGTCTTATTTTCTTTTCAGCAATTCCATTTTGCTGAGGTGAGTGAGGAGCGGTGGTTTGATGAATTATTCCATGTTCTTTACAAAACTCACCAAAAGGTGATTCATATTCACCACCTCTATCACTTCTAAGTTTCTTGATTTTATGACCAAGTTGATTTTCAACTTCATTCTTATATTGAATGAAAGTTTTCAAAACTTCATCCTTGGTTCGAATTAAATAAACATAACGATATCTAGTATAATCATCTATAAAAGTGATAAAATATTTTTTCCCACCTCTAGTTTGAATTGATTTAAAATCACAAATGTCACTATGAATTAATTCAAGTGGTTTCGTACTTCTTTTAATTAAATGAAAATGAGTTTTGGATAATTTTGCCTCAACGCAAATTTCATATTTATGATTTGAATCAATGTCAAATTTAGGTAAACATTCCATATTAATTAATCTACGTAAAGATCCATAATTAACATGTCCTAGTCTACCATGCTATAAATTTGAAACTTAAGCAAGTAAGAAGAAGATATATTTTTATTAATAATTGAGGGTACAATGGTCATTACATTCATCTTGAAAAGGCCATCAGACATGTAATATTTTTCTACATACATCCCATTCTTAGTAAGTACAAATTTGTCACTCTCAAACACTAGCCCAAACCCATTTTTACTCAACAAAGATCGGGAAATAAAATTCTTGCGAATGTCCGGTACATACAGCACATTGTTGAGAGTGAGTTCCTATCCAGATGTCATCTTCAGAACAATCTTCCCTTGTCCTTCAACTTTGGAAGTTGAGGAGTTGCCCATAAAAAGTTGTTCACCGTTATCCACTGTAGAATAAGATGTGAACATCTTTTTGTCGACACAAATGTGGTAAGTAGCACCAGTGTCCACCCACCATTCTTTAGGATTTCCGACAAGATTTGCCTCAGAAACAACTGCAGAAAAATTGATGTCATCTACACCATTGGAAATATTGTCTACTTCGGTTATATGGGCTTGAGCAGGCTTCTTGCTTGTTCTTCTTTTGCTTTTGCCTTTGCTACGACAATCTTTGGCCCGATGTCCCTCTTTGTCACAGATGTAATACTTGTCATTAAACTTGTACTTTTTAATTTCCCCTCCTTTAGAGCCTTGTGATGAACTGTCTCCAGAAACTTCCGTTTCCTTACTTTTGGAGCATGGTCCACCACATTTGCCTTAGACTCCATAGGATGCTTACCAGCCCACTTTTCAGAACTGCGGTTGTCCTTCTTAATCCTCAAACGCACAATTAATTCTTCTAAAGACATTTCTTTGCGCTTGTATTTGAGGTAGTTTTTGAATTCCTTCCAGCCATGTGGTAATTTCTCAATTAAGGCTGCAACTTGAAAGGATTCACTGAGAGACATGCCTTCTGCGTGAATGTCATGCAGAATGAGTTGGAAATCTTGAACTTAGCTGATCACAGTCTTAGAATCAACCATCACAAAGTCCAGAAATTTGCCAACCACAAATTTCTTTGAGCCGGCATCTTCCGTTTTGTACTTTTTTGTCACGACCCAAACCCGCCCCTATGGGTTTAGTACCGTAACCGGCCAGTAATCCGAGATTACCGAAGGCCTGCTTAACAGTAGAACAGTAATACAGAGTACAGGAGCTGGCGGAAGCCAATACAGTAAGTAAACAATGTCCAATGAGCTGTGAGTCTGTATGCAAAAAGATTTTTCATACACATATACATGAACAGTACAGAACAATATGTACATATATACAATCATTCAGTTCAGGGACCTAATCCCTATTAAACAGTACAGTAACAGTCTATACAGTTATACAAAACAGATACAGAGACATACGGGGAAATTAAAACACCCCTAAGCCATAACTTGACAGGCTCGGAACCTCATAGTGAGGCACAGTGGTTGGCTTGACAAAACTGGAGTTACCCCAACACTTCTAGCCACGGTCTGGTACCTGTACACCTACATATATATATGAGCAGTGAGTTAAAGCCCAGTGAACAGCGTAATGCGTAAAGAGGTTAAGAATGAATGTCCTTACAGTAATGAAAACAGTTCGTTAATTCAGTATATCAGTCATTCAGTCATATGTAGTACATCTATTAGCATAACAGTACAGTAAACAGTAGGTCTTAAAAGACCGAACAGTAAATGATGGCCATCAATCAGTAAACAGTAGTGGTTCCAACAAGGGAAACAAGAGATCTCTTGTAACAGTAACAGTAAACAGTAGTTGCTAAGGATGCCCAATACAGTTCAGAATATAGGACATGATTCATTCAATTAACAGTATCAGTTCAGAAGCAGTACAGTTCCATTGTTCAGAAGATAATATTTTGAACATATCTTTACACAGTTGTTACTCACAAAGTTTTGGGCTACAGAGAAAGCTAGAGCGCGTCCCCAGTCGCCAACCCTACACGTTACAGATAGAGAACACATACTAAGCTACACAGTTGGGAAAGATAATAACTTAATCCCTAATTTGCCTCGGTGTGTTCTACATCTATATCCTTCATTAAGATGCTTTAAACTAGGCCTAAGAATGCCTAGGATGGGATGAGGATGCAAAGATGCATGTTCAGAAAATATTTTCAGAATTTTCAGAAAACAGAGGTCCCCCGCTCTGAGCATAGGTTGTACCCGCTTCGAGCGGACATGCAGACCAAAGGTATCCGCTCGAGCGTGAGACACAAGGTCCTGCTCGAGCGTCAATTATTCCGCTCGAGCGGACATCAAAACAGTGCAAAGTACTGGGAGCACGAATTTCATGCTCGAGCGCCAGTCATCTCGCTCGAGCGTGAGTTCAAAATCTGGAATTTCCAGATTTGAACTTCCAAGCTCAAACCAAGTTCAAATGCATT